TTCACCACTGAGATTTTTATTTCTTTGCTATATAAATGAAAAAGTCCAAACATTTTGAAAAAAAAAAGTGTTTTTTTTTTTTTATAAAATGTGCAAATCTTTCTTCTTCATAAATCTTGTATTTAGCTATCTTTTTAGTAAAAAAAAAAACAAAACAAAAACAAATTAGTTTATAACCAAAAATTATAATTTTTTTTTTTTTAATATTGTTTGTTTTTGTTACCCTAGCAGTGCAGTGTCACCATAGTGACACTACTACTTGTGGGGGGTGATGAAGGCTGTAAAAACAATCATTTCTCCTTCTCTCTAGGTGTATTCCTGCAGCCATTGAGAAATACTGTAAGAGCTGTGATTGGTCACAGCTTGTCACATGGTACAAAGCTGTTGTGAATAGCCTTGTTCCATGTGACTTCTGTGATCATTCACAGATTTCACTAGTAGTAAGCAACGATGTCAGCAAGTGACATCTTGTTTACTACTATTCATGTGATCACTCATTGGCCAATGATTGGGACCTCACACAGAGGTCCCGTACAGCGATTGGTATTCGGATGACACAGCGGGCACCTGATTGCGGTGCCATGCGCTCTCAGGGAGCGCGCACAGGCAGTTAATGCGGGCACCGCTTATAAACAGCAACCCGCTTTGACACTGCTCCCGTCTGGCCGTTTATGTACATGGGCCGGACAGAAAGTGGTTAAAGCTGAAGAGTGCAACAGGCACTTACAATGCCTTTGATTGTGCTGCCATTGCAGTGAACCAATCACAGCAATATCAAGTATTTAGCACTGGTTGTGATCAGCAGCCAGCCCTCCCCTTCCTCTGACAACAGAAAGAGAGCCAACAGGATTGCTACTGATCGCTTCTACAATTTGACTGTTTAACCAGCTTATTCAGGATCTGAATCATCATGGGTATCATAAAGAGCAGACATCTCCAATTGGATCCATGCAGCGACCTGGTAGCAGACTACAGGAGATGTGGTTAGGAGTACTCTCTGTGAATGGAAAAGGCCAGCGGTAGATATTTGATTATGTATTTACCTCTGCAGTTGGAAAGTTGCAGCAGTAGCTAGTTCTCAAGACCTTCAGCTGTAAGGCCCCTTTCACACGTGTGGAGCAGTCGGGTCCATTCATTTTTCATTTTTCAGGCAGACCCAATCAGAGCATCCCACCTGCATTTGATCCTCTAAAAACATCTAGTGGATCGAAACGGGTGACAGTTGGATGTAAATGGATAGGCGAGCCTTTGCATCCGACCGCCCATAGAGGAATGCAAGCTGTGTCCGTGTCTGTTCTGCTAAGCAGAGTGCACACCGACCTGTCTGCGGACAGATCCCCACTTCCTTTTAGCACTGATCACTATTAGTGTCACTGGTGATGTCAGTGACAGTCACCCCCCTTCAGAGTGACATAATGCCCTCTGCAGTCCCGCTATAAGTCGCTGATCATTGCCATTGCTAGTATAAAAAAAAAAATACAGTAAATATACCGCCATAAATGGCGAGGTGGTCGTTTACATCCGACCACCCATAGAGGAAGGCGAGCTGTGCCCGTGTCTGTTCTGCTAAGCAGGGCGCACATGGACCTGTCAGCGGACAGATCCCCGCTCTCTATTAGCACTGATCACTGTATTAGTGTCACTGGCGATGTCAGTGACAGTCATTCCCCCCCCTCCGTGTCAGAATGCCCGCTATAAGTCGCTGATTGCTGCCATTACTAGTATGAAAAAAAAGTAATTATACCGCCCAGGTCGTTTACACCCAGCTGCCCATAGCGGAAGGCGAGCTGTGTCCGTGTCTGTTTTGCTAAGCAGGGCGCACATGGACCTGTCAGCGGACAGATCCCCACTCTCTATTAGCACTGATCACTGTATTAGTGTCACTGGCGATGTCAGTGACAGTCATTCCCCCCCCCGTGTGAGAATGCCCACTATAAGTCGCTGATTGCTGCCATTACTAGTATAAAAAAAAAAAGTAAATATACCGCCCAGCGATAGCTGGTCGTTTACACCCAGCCGCCCATAGAGGAAGGCAAGCTGTGTCCGTGTCTGTTCTGCTAAGCAGAGCGCACACGGACCCGTCAACAGACAGATCCCCTGCTAAGCAGGTGGATCCACTGGTGGAGTCTGCCCGTGTGAAAGGGGCCTAAATGTGCCCTATCACCTTGTCTTTTCTAGTCTTGGAGGAGCTCTGTGATGGTTGTAGTGAAATCTGCAAGTCTGTTATTGAAGAACTTATAAGGAATTCTATTTGATATGTGTGCTGAACATTTTTAGGGGGGTCCAGATTTTTTTTTTTTCCTGCCCCTGAACTGTACTGTATGTTGGCCTATGTGTCCATGCATGCCATGGAGGAATTTAGAGGCAGAAAAAACTCAATACCAGCATGTCTAGGAGCAGTGGCATTGTGGCAGAAATAAACACTAAAATATTCTTCTGACCAATTAAATGAATTAACACCAGTGCGCTTGATGTGCCTGAACACGTTACACACATTTACAAGTGGAAAGCTTTTTTTCTCTGCAAAACCCCCACTGCCAGGAGGAAAGGCATCTTGAAGAGATGGCCAAAGCATCCAGTGTAAATGAGGCTTTAAAACAGAATGTAAGGGAAATCTTTGGTCTTTTTTTTTTCTTTATATAGTATAAGTAAATGGAAAAAAAAATGAATTTAGGTATACTATTATGTGTTTGAGCATGGCTGCTCAGGCCCAAGCTCTGCAGCCACATATCAAGTGCAGGCTGTTTGCTTTGGCTGTGACAGAACAACAGATTGGTGGATGAGAGTACAGGTGCCTAGGGGTGGAAGCCCATAGAAGAGTCTAAGGTGGAAATGCAGAACAGAACTGAGGCTGTGGATGGGACTGCAGCATGGATAAGAAGGTGCAGATGGGGCTGCAACATGGAAAAAGAGGCTGTGGGCAGGGCCATATGGTTGCTATGAACATGTTTTTAGTTGTGTACTTTTTCGGTTTCTCTGAAGTTCCCCTTTAATATGACTTTGATAAATAAGAGTTTCTACACCCTTAATCCAGTTTTTCTACATCAGCTCTGGGGTAATTGCACAAACTGTTGTATGTTATCGCATTAATGAGTGAGGATCTGCTGCACCCAGGACTGAACATATGAAAGCACGACCTCTTGTTTCAGTGTCCTTTAATCTTAACATTCTGATACAAAACAAATATTTATTTAAAGACAACCTGTTCAATAACCCAACCAAGGCTTATCCTTCAAGTATATGTGAACCTTCACCTTGTAAAACAACACACTCAGTTTAAAATAGAAATGCATGGCAAAACAATTGTGTGTATATGTTAAAGAAAAATGGAAACAAATCTTTTTTTTTTCTAATAAATGATCACATTACTGCTGTTCTCAACTGCATAATGGACATAGAGAGCTGATGGGGGACAATCAGCAGGTGGCAGAGAAACAGCAGCACACATCTTCCTAGTAAATGGCTATGCAACAGGTATGCCAGCGCCCGTCTGATCATTGGAGGACAGTACTCCCAAGTAAAATGCAATGACTCAAACTGACTACTCTGGGAAGGATGTGCTTTCTTGCCCAGTGTGGTCAGCTTGCAATAGGAAAGCAGGGGACTGGAAGGATCACCAGGAATTTCACTCAAAGGACACCATGCTAAGAGAACAGATTACTTTTCACAAGTACATGGTACAGCAGGCACATATCAGGAATAAGACATTTGGGGTAACAAATACTTTAACTCTCCATTTAACTTTGAAGCTGAAAATACACCTTCCACTCTTAAGTGCAATCTCTATTTTTTTTTTTTTTTTTTTTATCATCTACCAATCGTATATAGTTGAAACCCTATGTAAACAGTGCATCACATTTTTAGCTAGTCAGGTAGGCTCTCGCTGTGCATAGCTCTTGGTAGATCTAAAGAGGATTGTTTAAAGTGATTTTTTTTTTCCAAACATGTCATACTTACTTGTTCTGTGTAGTGGTTTTTCACAGAGCAGCCCCGAACCTCCTCTTCTCAGATTCCCTGCTGGCTCTCCTGACTCCTCCCCCTTGATCCGTGCCCCCAATAACTGCTTGCTGTGGGTGCACTGGTGTGTGCTCGCTCCTGAGCCTCACCCTATGCATCCATAAGACACACAGTACCGCAGCTTGGCCCCTCCCCCTGCTCTCCTCATTGGCTCACTGGCTGTAATTGACAGTGGGAGGAAATGGCTTTCGCTGATGTGTCTCAGTCAATGAGGAGAGAGAGACCCAGGACAGCTGAGGCTCCCGTGCACAACGCTGAATTGAGAGGGGGCTCAAGTGAGTATTGTGGGGGGAGCAGCACACATTCTATGCATGAAGGTAAAAAACCTTCAGCCTTTACAACCACCTTAATCAGAATGGAGGGAGTATGGCCACGTTTTCTTGTACAATTGACTCTTACAGTGAATCTTAATAGCATATAAATGAAATGGGCAAAGCATGATATTTATTTAAAGTGACCCTTTCCTTTGATTATGCAGGAAAAAAAACAAAAGGGTCACCTAACCCCTTTCCCCCACCACCCCAGCAGTATAAACTCACCTTCCTCAGACTTCCTCCCCAACCCTAAGTAACAGCACTGGGACAATCAAGAGGGACCTAGCGAAGTCACATGCAGGCAAGGGAAAGGCTCATTTTAAAGCCCAACCCTAGACATCTCCCAGATGTTCCAAATGTTTTTTATGCTTTTATTTTTTAGGGCTTCTGTTTATAATGCACTTTAGAACCAGAGGTGCGAGTAAAGGAACGTGTCAAAGGACACTGAGATATTGAATGTGTAAGAGGGAAATGTTGTGGGGGGGGGGGGAATAATTGTATATTTATTTATTTTTACCAAGGATATTGTATGTATGGAAGTCCTGTTTTCATAATATGTAGAAAGCAATATCCACTTCTATGCTGAACCATGCAAAGAACGATACATGCCAGTGTGTATATAACATGTTGTTTTTTTTATGCTTTCAGAAACAGGAGTTTTTCGTGGACATGACCTGTGAAGGCTGCTCAAATGCTGTGACACGAGTTCTCGGCCGACTCCCAGGTATTGCGTGATTCTCTGTTAGCGTTTGCACTGTCCACCCATAAGTTAGTCTCGTGGTATAGGCTGGTTTGTTGAGCCACCTGTTGGGATTTTGTATTTCATGGTGATATCAGTACTGATCACTCTTGAAATAGTTCCGGACTCGGTGCCAACTCACTGTGGCGTTTGTGTCTTTCTATCTATCTTAGGATATCTTTACTCTGCTACCACTTTCCTCCTAATAGGAAATAACAATAAAGCTGACACCTAAACACGTCAATGGCAGGTTGGTAAGTCGAATCTAAAAGATAAAACTAACAGTTCGTTTGGGAAACTATTCAGCCTGTACTAAAAACACTTGGTTTTAGGTGGGATCATCCTTTAAAATGATCCTATAAGGACAGACAGAAATATGAAAGCTTCTATAGCTGATAACCGGTAACATGTTTATCCTGACTTTTCTATCTAGTAAATGCAAGCATGCAGCAAGTCTCAAATCTGTCATGCATGCTTGCTTGAGGTCAGTGATTACTTTTGAAATGAAGGCAGGATCTGGGTCACAACATCTTAGCTTGCATATTTTGAAAACCCTTGTGCAAGCTCCCATATTTCTATCATGACCGGTTCTCTTTAATAGTTCATAGCTAGTTACTGATCGCCAGTAGACATCGATTAAAATGTAAAATTGAGAATTCCTGTGCATTTGTAATGTTCTTTGTTTCATAATAGTGCAGAGAAGAATGGAGAGGAGTTCAAAGAAGCCAATCAGAAACGGGTTTTAAACAGCCTGTATTAATTCCTGTGTGAAGAACCTATGAATTCAGACGTATGATCCAAGTGGTACAGAAAAAGAGGAGTGCCAACTAAAATGTTTTCTTCATTAAACATCAAAAGGACAAGCCAATATGTTCTAACACAGCAACGGGCAAACTACGGCCCGCGGGCCGTATACGGCCCGGCAGACCTTTTAATCCGGCCCGCGGAGCTAGGCTCCCGCTAGGCTCCTCTCACAGTCCGCCGTGTGCCGGAGATCGCCGATCGGCTGCTAATGCCTGAAACTGGCACATGCGCAGATACGTCGAGGGGGACAGATCCTCATAGGAGACAGATTTTCATGCTACACCGGAACGACGCGGGAACACGGCGAGAGGAACGCGCGGAGCAAAGGTAAGTGAATTGACACAGGGGGGACTTGGGGACTTAATATGGGGGATGAATTACTATATGGGGGATGAATTACTATATGGGGGATGAATTACTATATGGGGGATGAATTACTATATGGGGGATGAATTACTATATGGGGGATGAATTACTATATGGGGGATGAATTACTATGGGGGATGAATTACTATGGGGGATGAATTACTATGGGGGATGAATTACTATATGGGGGATGAATTACTATATGGGGGATGAATTACTATGGGGGATGAATTACTATGGGGGATGAATTACTATATGGGGGATGAATTACTATATGGGGGATGAATTACTATATGGGGGATGAATTACTATAGGGGGGGTGAATTACTATAGGGGGGATGAATTACTATAGGGGGGATGAATTACTATAGGGGGGATGAATTACTATATGGGGGATTAATTACTATGCTTACTATGGGGGAATATTACTATACTTACTATGGATGACACATACACATCATTCATCTACTCTTGGTCCGGCCCCCGGGTCCAGTATATGAACCCATTGCGGCCCTCAAGTCAAAAAGTTTGCCCACCCCTGTTCTAACAGATCCCCTGAGACCATCCAAATTTTTACCAGCAATTTTAATCCCTAGTGAAAGGAGCACATTATAACCCCCCAAATGCTTTGGCTTGTGTTTTTTTTTTTTTTATGTTTTTATGATGAAATAAATTCTTCATGGCCTCCAACATTTTGTCTGTCCCTCTTTGGTACTGCTCAGATTTCACCTGAAGACACTCAGAGGTCTCTTTGCTATTTGCCAACCAAAGACATAGAAACAATATGTAGATCATACCCAGATGATCCAGGTTAGGAGCAAGTTATTGTGCAAGTTATCAAAATGTATACAGCATATAAATTTGGTATGGTTCATCATAATGGCTTAAAGTGATTCTAAAGGCTTTTTTTTTTTTTTTTTTTTTTTAAATAACATGTCTGTTATCTGCTGAGTGCAGTAATTTTGCACAGAGCAACCCGGATCCTCCTCTTCTTGGGTCCCCCGCCGGAGCTCCGTACCCCTCCTTCCTGTCAGGTGCCCCCACAGCAAGCAGCTTACTATGGGGGCACCCACTGCTCCATGTGTCCATTCACACACGGAGCCGCAGCTCGGCCCTGCGCCCTCTCTTTTCTCATTGGCTCATTGTCTGTGATTGATAGCAGTGGGAGCCAATGGAGAGGGAGACCTGGAATAGCTGAGACTCCAGTGCACAATGCTGGATTGAGAGGGGGCTTAGGTGAGTATTAGAATGCATGAAGGTAAAAAAACCTTGAGCCTTTAGAACCACTTTAATTATAAGGCTTCTGGAATTGGTTGTGTGATTGGGAGGCAAGTCTGCAGATCAGTACCAGAGGTAGAATGAAGGTGAGCATGGCTGTATAGCAGCAGGTTTCTTTAAGGCCTCATGCACACAGGGCATTTTTACAGCTGCTTTTAGAGGTGTCTGGCATTTTTTATCCTGCCTCTAAACTCCCCTGCATGTTAGCCTATGTGTCCATGTATTTAGTGGCAGGAAATAAATGCCACTGCCAGTGCGTCCAGAAGTAGCAAAGGTTTGGCAAAAAAAACTGTTTGCGCCTCTAAATGCATGTTAACCCCTTACCCTCCAGGCTCAAAAATATCTCCTTACATATCATATAAAAAGATGCATAGATGGAAAGTATTGTCATAGAAGGGTATGGCACGCAAATGTCATCCATTATTGACCTTTTTTATGGCCCACGCAAATGTTCCATCCATTATTGACCTTTTTCCATTCTCCCCCCCCCCCCCTGCACAAGTCTGTATTTTTACATGGGTGATTGCTTCCCTCAGTGTAATGTAGTCACAGCGTGGATAGATGATTTCTGACTTGAAGCAGGAAGGGTGGGGGTGGTTGGTTACACTTTTCAAGTTGCTTTCCACAAAGTGTAGTGTTTCTCTGAAATGTCCCAAGCTCTGCTTTTGTCCCTGTTCCCTGGCTTCTAAATCCTTTTTCTGAGCCATGAAACTATCTGTTCATAGTGAGTAATCGGGACAAACTGGAAACACAAGTACATTTCTGAGCCCAGAACTCTTCATTACACTGTTGGATATTTGCCCGTACGGAAACTTCCTTATCACAGAAGGCTGGAGCAGGAGAGCAAAATGTATAGATGCTACTTTTCTATTTGTTGTATAGGAAACTCCAATCTGCAGTCTGTCTAATAGAGAAGTAGATCATGTGAGCAAGGGCTAGAAGCTCTGTTTGGATTGTAATACTGTCCGAATCTTTGTGGTGGGGAGGACCTGGTAAAGGGTTCTTAAAACCTCCTAGGGGACAATCACAGTATGTCCTCTGTTTTCTGGGTTGAATGATGCTGGGCAGAGAATCCTATTTCACATAGGTAGTGAAGGGAATCAAAACATGTTTCACCCTTATCCCCAAGCTAGGCTAAGCTGCAAACTGCTTACATCAAGACTGCTCAATATTAAGCCCAGCCTTCTTTTTTTTTTTTTTTTTTTGTAAATACGCTTTCATTCTTGGGTCTTCTTGGAAATTAATGTAATCAGCCATTGCTGAATCCAGAGACTTTGTCCAACACCCCCCATCATTTGGTTTCTATACTGCAACGGCATATGAATGTCTTTTCTGTTAGGATCCAATATCTGAGAGATACCTCGCAGAGATAAAAGAACTGGTGAGTGCTTCAGCTTGGTAATATCTACCAAAAAACGAAAAGGACCTTCTAGATGGAAGCATTAATGTAGGCTTCTTTACTTTTTTAGATGTAAAGTATGAAATTGATTTGCCAAATAAGAAAGTGTTGATACAATCTGACCAGCACTCAGTGGACCAATTGTTGGAGACCCTGAAAAAGACTGGAAAAGAGGCAAAATACGTGGGCTGTAAAGATTAAAATACAGATGGAAAGGAACTAGCATACGGTAACTATTTTCATAGTGTTCATTGTGGTGCGCTGCATGGTCGAAAATGTTTCAGGTGTGTTTTTCCATGCATTAAGGTGGGCTTCCCTAATGCAGAACCCCTTAATGTAGGGAATTGTAGAGGCCAATGTTTTACTTACTTTACTTTTACTAACTTCTAAGTTATTTACCCAGTGACCCAGTACAAGTGTACATATATCAGGACTTAACAAGCTGTGAAAGCCAACGCTGGCAGCTTTTAAATTTGTCCTACTAGGATTGGTTTTCAAATTTTCTGGGAAGCTCATTAACAGTGGGAGATGAAGGTAGATAAAGCCAATGATGCAGAGAAACTATATTACTCATTTTAAGGCAGTTAACCCCAGGGTGGATTTGATTTAAATCAAACTGATTTAAATCACTAGTCAGTAAGGCTTGATTTAAATCCTAGTTTTCTATATAAAGACTAATTCTTGCTGGTATAACTTTAATATGCAAGTAGATGAAGATTTTTAGAATAACAACTTTTCATATTAGTTTTTTTTATCCCCAGTTTAATAGGTTAATCATTCATATTTGGACAACTTTTCTGTTGTACTTAGGAAGGAGAAAAATAATCATTACCTTAATAATAACAATTTAAATAGATTTATTCAACTGAAACAATAACATTCCAGCATATGTGATTTGCTTAAACATCCATGTTTGGTAACTAATTTGGCTAAACAAAATATATATATTTTAAGAAACTTAGACTGTCAGCCCCTTCCTCCTCACACTTAGTTTCACTTTCTTCTTGTGCAGATCTATTCCACTCCAAACAATCAGAAAAATATTGTTTCTATTCTATTCACTGAACTTCTTGAAACTTAGCACTGAAGGGGTTGATTCTGTATTCATAGGTTTGTAGAAGTTAGGGTTAAGGTCTTTTTCTTAACTCTGTTCATGTTATAACATTTTTGCTGTGAAGAAGAGGCATGTGATCTCCGCTGAGTCAAATTCAGTTTTGAGAACTGCAAAAGTAAACCAATCATCTGTGATAATATCTTGTAGGCAGAGAAACTGCCCAATAATCTTACAAAAACCTCTGGAAGAGCATGACATTGTGAATGGATTAATGGCATGTATTTACCAAAAAAATTAAACCTATACAGCCTTATTCTACATAATTAAAAAACTAATCTTTATTTCATGATGGAATAACCTTTGGATGGTAATATATTTTCCTCAAAAAGCATTTTATTTAAAAAAAAATCCGATTTAAATAAAAAAAATCTATTTTTTTTTTTTTTTTTTTTTTTTAAATCATTGATTTTTATCCACCCTGGTTAACCCCCTGCTCAACTGACCAATAGGTGCTTTCTTCAAGCAGTTCGCTACTTGCTCCACAGTCATAACCATCCAACAAAGAAAAAGTTGTAGTTACAAAAACACAAAACCACTAAAAGCAAAGGATATAAGCGCATACAGATCCCCGAATCCTATTAGCAAGGGGCACAAGATGAACAATAAAAAGTCCAATGTCGTAAGTGAGTCCATATAGCACTGGGCAAGCTCTTTTAGCTTTAGCAGGCTCTGTGTAGAAATAAGGAGGAAATAGGCGCCTTTAAGTGCAGTATGGTACAGTATTTATTTGGAAGCAATGTAAAACACTCACATAGCATTAAAATAAGGTAGGCTCAAGTAGTAAGGGTGATAGCTGTGTCCTCGCTGCACTGACCACGTCCGCACTGCTGGAGACTGTAGATGTCACAGAAAAGCCAGCTGGCATGTGAAGTCTCAGAAGAGACCATGGAACGCAATGTCGGCGTCAGCGTGATGACGTATGGGAGACCAGCATGCAAAGCGAAGCTTTTCAGAGCATGCACTAAACCACTAAGAGCGGTAACCCGTTCCCTTCTCAAAGCTTGAGAAGGGAGTGCACTTCCGGCCTTAGTGGTTTAGCGCATGCTCCGAAACGCGTCGCTTTGCATGCTGGTCTCCCATACGTCATCACACTGACGCCGACGTTGCGTTCCCATGCACTCTATAATTACATGCCAGTTATTCCAAACAAAACATTCATAAGTTATAGTACCCATACAATCAGTAAAAAAAAGGCACTGTTTTTGTGTTTGTACAGACAAATTTAATGGTACAGTAGCGTAAAGGGAACCTGTACGGAAAGAAATCTTGGGGCTGCCTTTACAGACCTTTTTCTGAAAGTGCTAGATTCTTGGCTATCTCTGATTTTCAGTGGTTTCTGAGACACAGACCAGAATGGGAGAAAAAAAACTTCAGACCTCCTAATTGGCATGCTTGCTTCAGGACCATTACTATGAAAGTACTTGAAGTCACTGGTTCAGCATGACCGTTATGGAACTTGTAATTACAAGAGGAAAGGTCAATATTGATGACCTTAATATTTCTTCATTACAGCTTTTTTTAAGCAGTCGATACCTGGTTTGGCATAAATTACAGTTTAGAACCATCTGACCTTTTGCTTCCTAAACTCTTTATAACTTTGTTGCAGTTCTGTTCATATCATACCCCCCCCCCCCCCCCCCCCCCCCCTTCTACAGAGTATAATTTGGATATTTGGAATTGGCATCAATGGCACACTGTTCATTCTTTGGTATGTGTCGGCACATCAGACTCCTCACTACTCCAGGTATATGCCAGAGATGAGTAGGGGCAAGGAGCAATGACATAGTGTGGTTATTAATGGATCAGGATTGCACAGGCTGGAGGGTGCTAAACTGGTATGTAGCTTGCATCGGGTAATAAAAAATACCTACATACATTTATGCACTGTTTTTTGTTTATTCAATTCTGTAAAGCTACTTAAGATAATTTTATACCTTTTTAAAGTAAAACTAAAGGCCAAACTTTATTTTTTTTTTGGATGGAGGGGAGATGGGTTAGAACACCTATCAGTTTTTATCGCTGTGTATGCCCCTGTTAAAGAGATTCATCCTCTCTATTTGTAGTGTTTACCATAAAAGTAAAATAAAACCCCACATTTTGAGCTGTCCCTAGAAAAGTAATAGAGGGGAAATCTTCCAATGGGGACACTAGTTCTGGTGCCCTGGGGGTACCCAAGGTATTCCCTTATTTGCAGGGAATTCCTCTCACTTCCTGTTTTCGCTATGGGACAGGAAGTTAAGGTAAATCTCCCCAATGGGACACAGAAAAAAACAATCTTACAGGGTTTATAACCCTGTCTTCTCTATGCAAATTGAGCAAAAAAAAGTTTTGCCTATAGCTCTACTTTAAAACTGAATGTCATTTATATTTCTAAAGGGAAAACAGTACACCTAGATGGTTAGTGTAAAAAAAAAAAAAAAAAGCCTGTATTTTTTTATTGTGCACTGCTTAGCACTATTGGCTGCTAGGCTGGTCAAATACCTGCAAGCCAGTTCATCAATAACTGTGCAAGTCAGTCTAATGTTTTATGTAGTGAAGGAGATAAGGACATTTTACAGTGGGAAAAAAAAACACATGAGGTGCTAGAGGGGTGTGACCATATGTTAAACCAACAAAATTCTCAATTAACGCTCTTTACACTGCTGTAGATCCTACTTCTAGACAACTTTTGCACAAAAACAGGGATTCTATGTTTGTATATGTTGCGATACATGTTCAAGCTGGCCAGCTTCTTTAAAGTCCAGGTCTGGAGCTCTCCTCCAACTCTGCCAGTTCATGGCATATTGGCACTGTCCATTAAAGGTCTATTAATGTCTGCTGTAAGGAAGTATTTCTCATTTTGCAGTAGTGTAAGAGTAGGGACTGGCCAGAGAAGGATTACTTTGAAGAAGATGGCCAGCATGTGTGTTGTATGTGTTAAAAGAAATATTACAGCATGCTTTTTAACATTTTTATCTGATAAATTAAACATTTTAAACCGATAAATTAAAGAATTCAATTAAAGAATCCTATGGATACTAACTGTTAACTATATTTCCCTTAGAATGACGTTGAAGCTGTGTGATTGGGATCAGATCGCATTCCATGAAGAATTTTTCCCACAATCGTAGAGATGACTCTGAAGAGCACATGCCAGGGACTTACTATGTGCCTCTCTTTAAAATGTTTTTTTAAATAGAAATTGTCTGCGTTGTCTACAGCCAGCAGTTGTATTCAGACTGGAAAATTCCAAATCTTAGTTGGCATCTTAAAGTTTGGCTATGACTGGTCACTGTTGACCACACAGGGAGTTCCTTATTAAGATAATTTTTGTAAATGGGAACCAGTTTCCTATACATATCTCCATAACACTAACCTAGATAATCTGATCATCACTAAGATTCGGTTAACAGATATTGTTAAGCCAGTTTAGCATGTATCTGTCACCTTTACAGCAAAGGCACACATTTTTTTTTTTTAAGGAGACTTGCTTTAATTAAATGATTTTATTGAAAATAGTGACAAGATAACTTAAAGTGCAACAGAATAACCTCTTGCCTTTCTAAGTGGAGTGCTAGGCCTGTGAGGATGCCTGTGTATGCTTCAGCAAATTGTACATGAGTAGGGATTGAATGTTTGAGGTATTATGGGGAGGAGACAGGGCCTGTATCTGCTAGGCTTGTATGAAATACTTTCCAATTTAAAACAAAGCCCATCTCCACTTTTAACAGCACCTACTTCTTTTAAATATTCTGAGCTGGAGCCTATGTAAATTCCTCACCAGCCCACCTATAGTTAAAGCAGTGAGAATAGGATGTCGTAAAAGGAATAAAAAGAATTATGTGCTGCATTTTGCAGTGCATCATGTCACTACTTTAAAGCCCAACTACTCCCCGACCACTCACCCAACAGACCTGATGCAATGACTCTTCCTCTTTGGTTTTATCATTGAGGGTGGGTGGTCTTGAATGATGAAGAAAGCAGCACTGAAGTGGTGACATTAGCGCCACTCTTTGTATCAATACACTGTGAGTGGAGAAAGCTGTACCCAGGGTGGCACCTTAATGCTATAGTGAAATCTCTAAGGGTAGCCATACCCAGCTTGGAT